AGAGAGGTTTCGCTATGAGTTAAGGTTGTGCTTTTTCTTTGCTGTAGCCCGAAAACTTGGCTTTCTGGCTTTTCGTCTTGATAACTACGCTATAACAAGGCAAATAAGACACCAGCAATAAATAACAAGAAGATACGCTACAACAAATATGAGATCAAAACAAAAAGGCAGAAACATGGATGCACCAGATCTATTTGACGAAGAACCTGCATTTAAACGGCAAGAAGTAAGACGTTCTCAAATGTCACTAGACACCCTAAGAACAATAGCAGAGCAACTAAATTTGGAGACCTCTGGGAATAAGACGGACCTTGTAAAAAGAATTACTTTAAATTGCACAAGGAATATGCCGCAACAATCAGTACCATCATCCAGTACAGTTAATGTATATCAGGAAGACGTAGACAATGATACTTTGGCAACGGAATATTTTCGTTCGGATAATCAACAACAAAGTCCAGACAGAACGGATACTACACTGGAGCAGTCAGGGTTGAGGAATCAAACTGGCATTAAAAGAAAAGGAGGAAATTCATTTACTGAATCTTCATCTGACCAGAGTGATGTAGAGACAATCACCCGTAAGAAACAAAAAACTAAACCATCAGAAATGGTGGCTTTTTTAACCGAACTAAAGAAGTTAAGGAAAGACATGAATAATATGAATATGAGGGTAGAAGAAACACGTACAAAATCCAAAATAGATGACGAGTGGCCAGAGCAAAATTTCGAAAAACAAAGAGACCAGCATGAATACGACACAATAAGGGCTATAGGTAAAGAACTGGATTTGGCGTTGAACGCTCTTTCAGTAGATGAAGCGTTAGAATATATAGAATCGGCTAAGAAAAGAGTGAAAGACAGATTGACCACTTTGAGAGTAGTTAAAAAATATGGATGGGATGTAGCGGTAGAGTTACCTCTATCAAAAGATGATGATTTTGTAGAACAAAGAGAAGCGATAGAGAAAGCACAGCAAATTGCGGCAACAAAAAGGAAAGGGAAAATAGGTAATCTACCTGAAAGAAGACCTTTTTTTCGGGGATCAAGATATACCGAAAATTCATTGCATGCTGCGAAAGAACAATACTACCACACAGGATATAACTACAGCCCAGCTTATACAGAACCGAACAGATACAATGTACAGAGGCCGTATTATGAGTTGAGATATAAAGAGCCCACAAGACCAATCTATAATAAAAGAACATTCAGCAATGAACAGAACTCAAGGAATAACGGGAAGGACTTTAACTGCTATAACTGCGGCGGTTTCGGACACTTGGCATTTAACTGCCCTTCAGCAAAAAACCAAAGGCCATTTAACCAACAAGCAGAATCAGATAATTCAAGAAACAACAGTTAACTACACTCGGGCCATAGAGATAAATGTAATTGGCCGGTTAAACCACCCCTCATCAGTCGCTTATTGGGAAAACAAGATAAAGGCATCTCCTCTAATTATTGGGTGGTTGACAAATGGTTTTCCCTTGTTTCCTCGAGGACTTCTTCCTTTGGCAGCTCTTCCAGAACAAAGACAATACACGATGAATCACGAACAAACAGAATGGATAGTAAACGAGTTAGAGCGATTATTAAAAGTAGGAGCAATAAGGCATGTAGGATCAGGGCAGAAGAGACCTTCATGTTTGATGGAAGTAAGCCCGATATTTCTTCAGCCAAAAGCTGGGCCAAAAAAGTGGCGACTAATAATAGATCTTCAAAGGCTAAATCGAACATTGCCAGATCGACCTTTCAAATTCGAAGGATTGGGAACCTTTTTAAGAATGGTGGGCCGGGAATGGTGGATAATAATAATAGATCTAAAGGATGGGTATCACCATCTATTAATGGAGGACCAAGCGCAGAAACTGTTAGGGTTTCAGTTCAAAGGGAATTGGTACCATTACCGAGTCTTACCTTTCGGGCTATCTCAAGCGGTATGGGGTTTTCAAAGGTAATGAGGGCACTTATTGGACACTGGTGATCTATTGGAATCTACTGCGGCAATCACGTGGATGACATATGGGTTGCACACCCTTCCCGCGAAGTATTACTTTACCAGCGCAACGAGATTATTCTAAAAGATATGGAGAAAGGAGGTTTAGTACGACACGAATCAAAAGGCCACCTAGAACCAACACAATGCCCAAAATTTTACGAGTTAATTCTGTATACAAAAAAAGGAGAAGTTATTATACCAAAGGAGAAGTTACAATAAATAAAAAAGGCATTAAGAAGCCTT